AAGTTAAACAAAGAGTGATATCCAGCCCATGAAACAACGAAATCAGAGATAGAGCGTAAAGAGTCAAATGTACCATAGTGTATTCATCTCTGTAGACCAAGGAGTTCCAAGTCTATCTTAGGAACATGAACCTTAGTGAGTGTACCAACTTATGTATCATCTCTGTGAGATTAATCTAATCACTTAATCGTTGTAAGAACTAAGGTTGCATTCCTTAGTAAGTGTATAAACCTATGTATCCTCTCTATGAGAATAACCCAAACACTCAAACCAAACCTGTCGAGTGAATACTTGTAAAGCTTGAAGAGGCTAGGGGAAGAATACTTGTAAAGCCTGGAGAGGCTTGTCAAAGAATACTCACTGTGAGCTAGAAGTGGCTGATTAAAGAATACTAGCGGCGATGAGTGAAGTTGACGGGCCAGGAGTTGGTCGACAATACTCACTAAGAGCCAGAAGTGGCTAAGTAAAGAATACTAGCGCTAATGGTGAAGTTACCGAGCCAGGAGTTGGTCGAGAATACTCATTGGGAGCCAGAAATGGCTGAAAAAAGAATACTAGCATCAAAAAGTGAAGTTGACGAGCTAAGAGTGGTTGATAATACTTGGGACCAGGAGTGGTCGTGACCTAGATGGTCCATAATACTCACTACGAGCCTGAAGAGGCTGAACAAATAATTCTTGCACTTAATTGATTATCTAGTGGAACCCTTCACTTGAAGGAGATTGGGCGTAGCTCAATTTGAGTGAACCAGTATAAAATACTTGCACTATACTTTAATGTTTTCAAACGAACTTTATTTGGTCGATCTAATATACTGAAAACTTCGTCTAATGCTTATCGTTTATTAAAACTATCTTCAGACGAAAATCATACTTGTTCAACTTGATATCCTAAAGAATGGTTTTCGTTTAAGAAGTATTTTCCCTAAGCAGATGATAAGATCCCAGACGCAAAAGTATTTTGTTAAACTAACCTTGGGCAATTCCAGTTTAATTTTAACTAATATCATTTTACTAGACGAAAATGAGCCTTCTCGTGAAAATGTTTTAAAATTCCTTTATACACACACACATATTCAACCCCTCTTCTATGTGTTTTTCATCTAACTTTAATATCTAGGTGTTGTTGCATGAAAACCTTAGTGTAGCTAATTATTTTATGTTTTTCATTGTAGAATAATTGTGCTATACTAAGTGTAGTGACCTATCAAGTCATTATATCTTATCATCATAAAAATCTACCACTAATAAGCTTTCAACTTACTCATCTTAGAACATCATCATATGAAGCAATTATCATCATAATTCAACATTTAAAATCATCTAAGTTAAAATCTTCATTCAACATCACCACATCTAGCACCATTTAACTTGCGTTGGCACCGGTGAGGTAGAGAGTCTCTTGCTTGCCCACACATTCTACTTGTGCTTGATATGAATGATAAAAGAAGTCTTTGTGTACACCATGCATGACATTAAAAAATCCACATTCGACATTATTTAGGCAAAAAGGTTTTGCTTGACCCACGTTCGACGCCACAAAGTCAGCGTTTGATGTCGTCCAGGTAAAGAGTCACTAACTTGATCACATTTGGCATCATCAATCCTACATCTGACGTCACCAAGTTAGAGAGTTCCCTTCTAACTCTCGAATGGCTACCCATCATACACCTGGTGTCAGTGAGACAAATAGTCTCTAACCTACATCATGCCCAGTGACGTGAAGCTATGTCCATCGTGATAGTGTTTTATGCACTTGGCAGAATCATGATTTGACTCCAAAACCTACAATTTTTCAGCAAAACCAATATGCAATTCCAGAAAATACATATGTACTACACAATCAACTCTTCTCCAACCAAAATTACAACATGCATCCACGTTTGAGCACAATGATCATCATTTTCTCCCAACAAGTATAAAACACCCAAATACTTAAAACTCATACTTCAATCATAACTCAATACAATAATCAATCTATAAAACAATGAATCCAAGCAACAAACAACAAAAACTCAACCATTATCAATCAACTAGCTTCCCTTCAAATCTTTCAAATAGAAGAAAAGGAAGAATGTATGAAGAACTCTAACTATCGGCTTTTGTCGAACGACAACTCCAATCTACAACTCTCAGCTTTGAGACTTTGAATTGCAACTCAACTCCAACTAGAAGTGCTCCGAGGAAGAATCAAAGCTAAACTACCACTACAAGAAAAACACAAATTTCCGACGGATAATGAATCCGTCGAAAAAAAAAATTTCGACGGATCAAAATCCGTCGAAAAATCTATATTTCTGACGAAAATTTCCGACAGATTTTAATCCGTCGGAGATTTCTGACGAATTTATATCTGTCAAAAATTTCTAACAGAAATTCTGTCGGAATTTTTCGACAGAATAATTTTGTCAGAAATTTCTGACAGAATTTCTGTAAAAAATTTCTGACAAAATAATCCGTCGGAAATTCCGTCGGAAATCATTATCTATTTATATTAATTAATATTAAATCATATTAATTAATAGTTGATGTTCATGCTGATTAATTAGAACCACTGATAACGGAACATTATTCCCTAACTGTTCATTTGTAGCCACAAAAACATATGCATCAAATTTAAGAGAGCCTTGTACCATATATAGCAACTCTTCATACATTATTAATTACAATAATATTAGTTATATAACATCTTTTTAGAAATGTGTTGACAAGATAATCAATAATATATTTATTTTTAGATAAAACTTAAATGTAATATTAAATGTTAGAGGGAACCGGCCAAGTTAACTAGAGTATCATACAAAGAGGGAGAGTGACACTTAATTATTATTAATTAAGATTTATATTAAAGTTTATATTAATATTTTATTTAGTAAGCCTTTTGTGGTATATAGTAGTGCTTCTAAGATGGGTTTGGGTGGAGTGTTGATGCAAGAAGGAAAGGTAGTAGCTTATGTTTCTAGGAAATTGAAAATTCATGAGAGGAATTTCCTTACCCATGACCTTGAGTTAGCAGTTGTAATATTTACACTAAGATTTGGAAACACTACCTATATGATTCTAAGCTTGAGGTATTTAGTGATCATAACCAAAGGAGTTGAATATGAGACAAAGGAGATAGTTAGAATTTCTTAAGAAATAAGATTTTGATCTTATTTGTTATTTGGGCAAAGCCAATGTGGTGACCAGTGTTTTGAGAAGGAAACCTTTACATTTATCTTCCCTTATAATTAGAGAGATGGATCTTTTGGCTCAAATTAGGGATTTAAGTTTGATTGACAATATTACTCCTAATAGTGTGAAACTAGGCATGACTCAGGTAACAAGTGGATCATTGAAAGAAATTGGAGAAGCATAATTAGTTGATTCATTTTGGTGTCAAGATATGAGGCTATAGGACAAGGTAATGGATAAGAGTTTGCCATAGGTATAGATGGAGTAGTAATACTTTGAGACCGAGCATGTGTACCTAGTGAACCTATGCTTAGGTGTTTGATCTTTGAAGAGAGGCATAGAAGTAAAGCTAATATTGTGACAGATGCCTTGATTAGAATGACTATTCACCTATCATTTTTTATGATTTAAAGGTTGGATCTAATAAAAGAATTTAGAGACTTAAGCGTGATGTGTGAGCTCACCCTTAAGAGAATTGGATTGGGTATGTCGAAAGTGACTAGTGAATTAATGGATGAGATTAGAGAAGCCCAGGAGTTAGATCCTTCTTAGTGAACCAAGTGGAGAGGATTGTAGGGGTATAGATAGCCCTTTACGAGTGGAAGTTGATGGTGTTTTGGGGTTCAAGGATAGAATCTATGTGCCTAGTAATCCTGAATTAAGGAAGATGATCTTAGAAGAAGAACGTAAGAGTACTCTTAGCATTCATTTAGGAGCTACTAATATGTATCCGAGTGGCATAGCGGAAGCGTTGAGGTATAAGGTGAAGAGAGGAGTAGAGGAATTTGTGTACTCGTGTTTAGTATGCTAGAAGTCATTAGGAATTTTGTAGCCTTTAGACGTCCCATTTTGGAAGTGAGACTCTGTATCTATGAACTTAGTTGTAGTTTTGCCTACAGATGCTTAAGAAATTTGATTCTTTTTGGGATATAGTGGATAAACTCACCAAGGTGGCTCACCTTACCCTTATTGATATTAGATATTCTTTAGAGAGATTGATAGATATGGATTGAAAGGTTTTTTAAGGTTGTATGATGTTATGTGGTAAAGTTGGTTCATGTACATTCTATATGGAGTAAACGATGATTGATTCGTACATGCTTGGGAAGGATATATATGAAAGTTTAAATAGGTATTCTAATATGATTTGATATGCATGTATGTTGATATGAGGATACATGACCTTATGGATCAATTAGTGGGTGTTTGTGTGTTTAGCAATACTAACCTTAGGATGTCACATCATCATATTGGAGATGAGGATGAAGATATATCCAATGATTATTTAGAAATTAAAACGAAGATATTATATATGTTAGAAACTAAAATAAAAAATAAAAGTGTTTATTTAGACTATTAAAAAAAAGAAAATACTTGATACCTCTTAATTTTAAAAAAATAAAATAAAAAATAAAATAAAATAATAGTTGTGAGTAATTACTTTAAAAAAATATATCAATAATTATTATTATTTTTAAAAAATTGAAGAATATAGTAGATTTAACGGACGATAAAAATTTTACCCCTCTTTTCTCTCTTCCTATGTTCAAATGGCTCGTCCTAGGTTTCTACCTTCCTAACTTTCTCTCTTCCTTCTCTCCCTTTCCTAATTCTAATTCCACCATTCTCACTCCCTTCGCCATGTCCAACAGGTAATTTTTCAAACCTCTCTTTTCTTCTGTTTTCAATTTCCATTTCCGTTTCACTGGTTTTTCCTTCGATCTCGTCTCGTGATTCTTCGATTTCTCCTATTAGGTTTTTTTTTCTTCTCCGTTGATTTATTTATTCTGTTATTTATTTTTCCTCATGTTTTCTTTTACTTTGCAAATGGAGGATGGACGAATTGTTCCTTTAGTTCAGTTAAAATCCCTAGTAGCCACGAGAGAACGACCCTTTTCTGGAACTGTGGAAACTGATAAGTTAAAATCCTGCAGAGCACTCTTCAAATCCTCCATTGCTATCTCAAAGGTACCTCTTCATCTCCCACTCCCCTTTGGTTATGACTTATTAGTGTGTGTGTGTGTGTTGGGTTTTGAAAATAAAATTTTGAAAAGGTTTGCCCAATGTTGGAAATGAAAAAGTTGTTCCTTTTTAATCAGCCGTGGACTGTAGTTTGCTGGTTTTGTGTGGCAAATCACCGGGGGGTAATGAAACTGCCAAAACTATAAAGACCAGTAACGCACTGAAGCTCCCTGACAATGGAGAATTCACCCTCTCTTTGCATTCTGAGGTGGATAAAGCTGTTATGCAAGGGTCTTTCCAAGTTCATTCCTACATGAATTCTCTTTCCACCAATCAATTTGGCAGGCTTCTCATTTGGTCTCCACTGTTGACATCAACACACGATGTCGTTTCACAGTATGTTTTGCACTCTTGCCTTATCTATGTTATGTGTTTTATCATGTGCCCTAGCTTTATTGTGCCTAAAATGATGTCTTGTCTTCTAATTTTCATGTCTAAATCTGGCATTATTTTTGTGCAGCAACTTTTGTAAGCTTCCAATTGGTACAGTTTGTGTTGCTGATGCTCAGACCAAGGGACGAGGTTTGATGTGAATGTTATGACATTTAGTGTTGCTGTGTGTGATTCTGTCCTTTTAAACTTCTATTCTAGTTTAAAGTCAGAGCTGCTCTGAGCACTTGAACTCTCAGGTCGGTCAAAGAATGTCTTGGAATCTCCATTGGGTTGCCTCATGTTTTCTTTTACTTTGCAAATGGAGGATGGACGAATTGTTCCTTTAGTTCAGTATGTGGTTTCCCTGGCTATCACAGAGGCAATCAAGGATATCTGTGACAAAAATGTAAGTGCTTTGTTTTGAAGTACTGGCTTGACACCTAGCCTGCCAGTGAATTTGATGAGTGAAAGCTGTAGTGAGGTTAACAAATTTAAGTATATGTATTTTCTATTTACATGATATAAATGTGCGGAAGTTGTTGACTAAATAAACTGAAAATTTTAACACTTGTGGAAACTGATGGTCCTTTATATGATTCTGAGACAAACTGTCAAGTTGTACGCAGCATTAAGGATGGTTTTGTTTACTTTGTATTTGGCAGTTTTCCTAATCGAATGCATGATTTGTCTCAATGTTAATTTGTTCCTGATTGTTTGGGATTGTGGGCCCTTAATACATTTTATTTCAACACTTTCCATTCCAGGGGTTACCCTTTTGGAAGAGAAGATATTCTGGCAGCCTTTTTTAACAAATTTGAGGAATTTTATGGTTTACTTGTGAATCAAGGTATTGTACTACTATACTAGTTAACTCATGAGTTTGATGTTGCTTGTCAGTATCATTTCTAACATCATACATCAATTCTAGTTATTATTGTGTAAACATCATACCTGTGTACTTCATTCCTTTATCCCTCTCTTTCTCTGAAAAACCCATGTATAGATAAAATCTTTTAATCTGAATTAACTTCTTGAATGTGTGCTTCTCACCCTTGTGTATCAACCAAATTGGAAGATACTTCTAAACCTATCATTTTTATATCTAAAATTAATCAAGCTACTTATCATATATAGAATGGAAATTGTGGAAATTTATATTTTGGGGAAGCAGAAGAACAGGCAAGGGAGGAGAGAAGGATATAACTAAAGGGCATAGGATGCAACAGTGATGTATATAATTGAAAATTGCTTGCTTTCTTGTTTACCATTGCAAGTACAAAACTCCATGAGTCTCAATTTTCTGTTGTCCAGCGTCCCCCCCCCCCCCCCTCCCCCCCCCCCCCTCTTTTAAAGATTTACTGTTTCTTTTAATGGCTTGTACTCATGGTTTCGAGAGTAATACCTGACACAACAATAAGTGGGTTTCAAGTTGCCTTGCACACGAGTATCTATAGAAAAATCATCTTTATAACAAACAATTATTTTTATAATCAAACTATTAATTTATCATCACTCACAACTAAATTATCAAGTGTCTGTTCCAATGTGTTATATATTAATATATTAATCCAATGTGTTATATGCTTGCTAATTTAGCTTTTTTTTTTAATTATTTTTTTTACGTTGTACAATCTTATGATGTCTCTTGTCTGTTGTTAGACATAATCATATCATGTTAACCTATCTCCCATGTTCAGAATAAAAAAGATAAGATTCCTCCTCATTGCAGATCCCTCTCCTGTCTAATACAACTTTTTTAATTAGGGAAAGGGGTGTAAGAGTCCATTATAAATTGATTTATTTGAACTGTTCATTAATTATATACTATTCGTCATAGAAATAAAGTTCTATTTATTGGTTGGCCATCTTTTATTATAAAGTAAAAGGTTCAGACCATTTTTTTCTTTGATTGCGTTTGGACTCATGCCAACATTTTATTAAACCGTTTTTTGAATTCATTTAGGAAGAAAAAATATGTTTTTTTTTTAATTGTATTTTACTAAACCCTAAGCATCTTTTATTATATATGATGTTTGAATTATGAATTGTTTTATTATTATGAACATTACTATTACCTTTTAAATTTATTTTGATGAAGCTTTTGCAATTTATATATATATATATATATATATATATTTGTTAAACAGGTAAAAATAATGTTAGTTATATTAAGAAATTTATTTAAAATTTAAAATATTAATTTTTGACAGAAATTTCCGTCGGAAATGGTTTTCATACATTTTCGACGGAAATTCTGTCGGAAATGTTCCAAAGAAATTTCCGATGGAATTTTCGTCGAAAATCTTCCCCAGAAATTTTTGACGAAAATGTCCTCCACAAATTTCTGACGGAATTTCCGTCGGAAATGTCCCCCATATATTTCCGACAGAATTTTTGTCAGAAATATCTGGGGGACATTTCCGTCAGAAATTTTCGACAGACACTTCCGTCGAAAATTTCAGACAAAATTTTCTGACAAAATTTGGTATTTTTGACGGATTTTTTTTTTTCGACAGCACTTTTTTCGACGGATTTAAATCCGTCGGAAATTTACTTGTTTCCTTCGAAAATTTTCGTTGGAAATTAGCATTTTTCTTGTAATGTACGAAGTCTAAAAGGATAAAGATTTCAGAGTTTCTTTTTGTAACTTCTCTCTAACTTTCTTGAAACAACTCTTAAACAACTAAACTACCAAACATATAGTTATTTAATTAATAAAATTAACTAAACAATCTTAAAATTCATGGTGTTATAAGAATGATGGTTGTTCTATTTAGTGGGAGTAATTATTAAGAAGAGTTTTTTTTGTTAAAATGATATATACGGATAAAAATAAAATATTTTAAATAAATATAAATAAATAAGTTCAAGAGTAAACGAATCTTAAAAAAAAAATTTAAAAATGATGTCCATTATATATAATATTGATTATTTCATGAATTAATAAATGGGAATTAATGTATGCCAGAGAAGAACCCATTTACAGAAAAGACCATATAAGAAAATTAATAACAATAAGATGATTTTCTCTCCGAACCATATATTCCGTTTCAGGCTACTCATTACTTTTTTTTAAAAAAAATATGGATAGTTATACTTTTTTTTCTTTTCTTTTTTGTTAAAGAAAAGTTTGACTATACCTGTTTTATTTTTTATTTTTACACAACAATGCTTGATTGTAACTGTCCCAGATAGAAGAATAATTTTTCGGATACCTAGACTGTCTAAAGAAAACGAGTAATTGAATCATTTTTATTTGCTTAAAGGACTTTTATGAATCATGATAAATTTTATCAGAGTCAAATGCATTTAACTATTTCAAGTTAGTTTGGTCTTTTCAGTTTAATTTATATACTAGTGGGTGTAAATACACATGCAATTAGGGAGATAATAAATGATTAATTAGATATTAAGAGATTTAAAGAAAAAATTTGTTAATTATTATTGTATAATTTTATAGAGTTAAAATTGTCTATAATAAAGTGAATAATAAATAGAAATTACTTTTTATATATAGATATAGATAAAGTAGATTAAATCTAAATTTAATATTATCAATGTAAAATACTTTATATTTCTATATATTTAGTAATATGTAATCATGTCAGGAAAAATAACAAATAATAGTATTAAGCAGAAATAAAATTAGATCTCCTTTTCTCCTATATAGATACTAGTAGGTTTTGAAAACAAGACAATTTTAGTAATACGTACAAAATAAAAAAAAAATAGAAATCAATAAACACCAAATTTTAACATGAAAAAATTATCAATGTAAGGTAAAAATCCACAAGACCTATTCTAGTAAAAATTTCACTAATAATAATTAATGAGTACACCACAAGTCTAGGATTACTAGAAATAACACCTCATCAATATAGTGGATAACAATACAAGAAAACTCTCAAATGAGTATCTAATCAAACAATAAAGAATCAAAATACACTAAATTGGTACCAAACACTTATCTGATTTCTCCTTATTCTGAAAGGTTGATCTCACATACCAAGAGTCATTATATCTAGTACTAATACAATTATTATTATTATTATTATTATTATTATTATTATTATTATTAAAGTTGACGTGAGCCCAAATAAATTGGTGACTCACTTGATAAATCTTCCTCTCATCGATTAATTGATAATAGTCAACCAAACCCACATTCTCTTTACAAATAACAAACTTTCCTATAAATAAGGCTTTTGTCATCATATTTGAGCCATTCTCTTCAGTATGAATTTTCTCCAATGATAATTGCTTCATCTCCAACACATCACGTATCCAACAATACCAAACCTCAATATGCTTTGACCTTAAATGAAAAGTCGAGTTCTTGTTGAGATGGATTGCACTTTGACTATCACAGTACAAAACATGGTTTCCTTGTGAAAGTCACAACTCTTGTAGGAATTTCTACATCCACAAGAGCTCCTTAACAAATTCTGTTACAATAATATATTTTACCTTTGTAGAAGATAGAGCAACACATTTCTACAATCTGGATTGCCATGACACTATTCTTTGCAAAAGTCATCATATAACCAAAAGTAGACTTCTTAGAATCCACATCACCAGCCATGTCTAAATTCGTGTAAGCATTCAACACAGGCTCACCACTTCCAAAACAAAAACATACTCTAGAAGTACCATTGAGATACCTAAGTATCCACTTCATAGCTTGTCAATGCTCTTTACCCGAATTAGAGAGAAAACGACTAACTACACCAATAGCATGAGAAATATTTGGTTTTGTACACACAATCCCATACATCAAGATACCAACTACAAGTGCATACAAAATCTTTTGCATTTCTTCTTTATCTTTCTCACTTGTAGGACATTCCTTAGAGCTTAACTTGAAGTGATATGCAAGTAGAGTACTAATAAACTTGGAATTGCCCATAATAAATCTCTCCAATACCTCCTCATTATACTTTTGTTGTGATAATCACAATTTACCATTCTTCCTATAACAAATAATCTTTATGCAAGAATTTGCCTTGCAAGACCCAAATCCTTCATTGCAAATGACTTTTTAGCTTTCTTTTGAGATTTTGAATTTCTCTCATGTTATGACCAACAATCAACATGTCATCCACATAAAGCAAGAGAATAATAAATTTTTCATCAAAAAATTTCTTGAAAAACACACAATGATCAAAAGAGGTTTTTTCATACCCATGATTCATCATGAAGGAATCAATTTTCCTATACCATTGTCTTGGACCTTGTTTGAGCCCATACAAACTTTTCTTTAATTTGCAGACAAGCTTCTTTTTTCCATTGACTACAAAACCATTAGGTTGCTCCATGTAAATTTCTTCCTCAAAGTCACCATGGAGGAAAGCGATCTTCACATCTGTAACATCCCAAATTTTATTCAATGAAAAGAAATATTTTTTTATGTATTTATTATGTGAATAAGTATTTTATTTATGTATTTTACTATTTACGTATACGTATTTTACTATTTATGTATACATATTTTTACTATTTATGTATACGTATTTTACTATTTACGAATACGTATGTATAAATAGTATTTTACTATGCAATTGCACAGTGAAGGGGCGGCTGAAACGTGGGCTGCGGATTCTTTCCGTTTCAAAATTTTAATTAATTTGAATATAATAATGAATAGTGCATAGTGCATAGTAATTTATAATATTATTTTAATGAATAGT